AGTCCAGCAAACAAGTGATCTGCTTCAAATAAAGTTGCTCCTTCACTCTTCCTGGCAGAGTCCAAGCTGCTGTGTTCTTAAGTCTTCTCCTCCATTACATCTGTTAAGACAATACCAAACAAGGCACAATCAAAAGCTGTCTGTGTAGGTTCTCAGTCATTTAATCCAAAAATAGTTACATCGAGGGCAACTGGACAACGTAGGTTTTATTGAAGACGTTTCACCTTTCATCCAAGAGGGTTAGGAGAAGTGAAACGTCTTCAATAAAACCTACGTTGTCCAGTTGCCCTCGATGTAACTATTTTTGGATTAAATGACTGAGAACCTACACAGACAGCTTTTGATTGTGCCTTGTTTGCTATTGTCTTAACAGATGTAATGGAGGAGAAGACTTGAGAACACAGCAGCTTGGACTCTGCCAGGAAGAGTGAAGGAGCAACTTTATTTGAAGCAGATCACTTCTTTGCTGGACTTGTAAGTATTTTACTAAAACTTCTTGGCAACAGGCTCACTTTTTGGCAACAGAGGTTTTTTTTGTACTTTTGTAGCCCTTGCACTTTCATTGTTAGATACTTAACACACTTTCACCTTTCAGGGGGAACATATTTTTTGTCCCCTTAGTATTTATTGTTGGCAATTGTACTTTCATTGTGATCTGTATTTGATTGTTGTAAACCTTCCTGAATAAAGAAAGTTGTTGGAATATTTTGTGTTCTACATTTATTTCCAGAAATTGAGCAAAAAAGGAGAAAATATGAATGGGGTTTCTCATAGTCTTTTAGGCTGTGCATTGTCAAAGTCAAGGTTATGGTATAGGTATAAAAAAAAATTAAGTTTAATTTTTTTTGTTTCTTTTTTAAAGTTTTAGTTTGTTTTGTAAAAAATTAAAAAACCCAACCAGAATAACCAACAGCACAACAACTTTTTACTCTTAATAGCAAAAAGCTAAATTTGCAAAACATGCATTCAATCACAAAGGCCATAGATACACATTTAAAACAATACATGTCAGATTCCATACTCACACTACTTCTGTCACCCATCTGCTCACAGGATTCAAAGGTTCGTCTCTTCCTCCTCTTCTGCGACAAAGTAAATGCAACAACTCTGTTCTGGCTGCAGTGAATCATCCAAAGGTTACCTCTCTTCTGCTTCTCTTCAGAAAGCTGGCAGCATGCCTGCAACCTCCTCCTCACAGGCTATTCCTTGGTCATGGGCTTGAACTTCCTGTGGCCTAAAATAAGTCAATGTTGTGTTGTCTTTTTCTGGACTTTTTTTATATATTATGACCAAAAAGTATTTCATATAAAATACTTTTTGGGCTTT